GTCAGAGACTTCATAACTTGAGACCAGTTACTCTGTGCCTACCGCAAAGAAGCAAAAGTACCTGGAGAAGAGAGATTGAAGATAGCAAGTCATGGCAAGCAAAAAGGATCATCCCAGCAGACACTCTGAATAGCAGCAATTGAAGGACCTTTCTAGATTTTCTCTCCCTACACAATACCAGTGTTGGGGAAATTTTAATGAGGGGCGTAGAGTTGTTTATCATTAGTACATAGTTGTTTACATGTACCCAAACACACTCTATTTGTACTAAATAGTGATTCTTGTAAAGTACAGAAACCCAGTCCATGCTTTTTGACCGTGGGTCAAGACACTACAGGAATAGCGCGGCTTGATTTCTAGCGTGTGACGCCAGTGAGGTGTAACAACAATCATCTAAATATTAATTCATTGCATTGTTGTTATAGGTATCAGACTGAGATTCAAACAATATGTAAACAATATCCGTGCGAACCTTTTAAGTTCTTGGAACCAACCTTGAGGTTGGAATTTCCTGAAGCTGTGGCCATGCTGAAGGAAGCTGGTGTGGAGATGGGTGATGAAGAGGATTTGAGGTATTGATCAAAAACTCTTTCTTACATTTAAGTTGTTCATAGTAAAAACGTAACATGCTATCTAATATTAATGGCACTATAGACTGTGTTGTGGAGTCATACTGCATGGAAACTGACCCTTCAGTCCAACTCATCCATGCCAACCAAGTTTCCCAAACAAAACTAGTCCCACTTGCCTGCGTTTGGTCCATATTCCTCAACTTTTTCTATTCATATACTTATCCAAATATTTTTAAATGTAACTGTATCTGCATCTACCACTTCTGGCTGAAACATCTTAATCTCAGAAAATAAAAGTTTTTTTTTGCATATTAGTGGGCAATCTTTAGCCTGATCTTCAGTTTTTTTTCAACATTTTTTAAAATTCATTTGCTGGATGAGGGCATTGCTGGCTAGGCCAGCATTTATTGCCCATCCCTAATTGCCCAGAGGGCAGATTAAGAGTCAACCACATTGCTGTGGGTCTGGAGTCACATGTAGGCCAGACCAGGTAAGGATAGTGGCTTCCTTCCCTAAAGGACATTGGTGAACAAGATGGGTTTTTTCCTGACAATCAGCAGTGGTTTCATGATCATTAGAACTCTTAATTCCATATTTTGTTTTAATTCAGATTCCACCATCTGCCATAGTGGGATTCAAACCTGGGTCCCCGGAACGTTACCTGGCATCTCTGGATTAACAGTCCAGCGATAATACCACTAGGCCATTGCCCCCCTGATGGCAATGGCAACAAACTACCAAGTTAATTAATCAGTTCATAAATAAACTAATTGCACCTATGAATAAATTATTAGGAGAACAAGATGTTAGTGATATTATCACGAGTTAAATTTTTTAGTTTTATTCCAAAAGTAATGCAGTCTTAAAGGCAACTGATATTTGAAATAGTACAAGATGATATATATATGAGCAGTCCCCAGGTTGTGAATGGGTTCTGTTCTGAATCAATTCGATTTGTACACAAATCAGAACACTGTGCAAGACAACATAAAATAGTTGTTCACAAGTAGGAGGAAATGTTTGTATAGAGTCAGATCATAGAAGCAGATCCTTTGGTCCAACCAGTCCATGCTGAACATAATCCCAAAATAAACTAGTCCCACCTGCCTGCTCCTGGCCCATGTCCCTCCAAACCTTTCCTATTCATGTACTTATCGAAATGTCTTTTAAATGTTGTAACTGTATCCACATCCACTACTTCCTCAGGAAGTATGTCAGCTCTTAAGTTAATACTAATAAACCCTGAGTGGGATTGGATTCATAAGTACATGCATTTGTAAATTGAATATTCATAGATTATTTTACTTTTCAGCACTCCAAATGAAAAGCTGTTGGGTCGCCTGGTGAAGGAAAAGGTAACAGATATGATCATTTTATTCTTTAAGAAGAGAACTACAATATATTCAAATAATGTTAAATATTCTGCTAATCCGTGTATTTTAATCTGATTTGATGAACCCAGTTAGCAGTGATGCAAAAAATAATTGTAGTATGAAGGTTGTCCTTGATTCATTCAATACATATTTTTGCTATTTGATTTTGTTGTTAATGTTACGATATACTTTTTTGTGGATATACCTACGAGAGAAGGAGCAATACTTGACCTCCTGGTGGGAAATAAGGCAGGACAAGTGACTGAGGGAGCACTTTGGGGCAACTGATCATAATTCTACTAGTTTTAAAATAGTTATGGAAAAGGAAGAACTGATCAATAAGTTAAAGTCTTAAATTGGAGTAAGGCCTATTTTGACGGTATTAGACAGGAACTTTCAAAAGCTGAATGAGGTAAGCTATTCGCAGGTCAAGGGACGGTTGAGAAGTGTGAGGCCTTATGAGACAAGAATGAGATGAGAGTTCAGAGACAGTACATTCCTGTTAGTGTGAAGCGCAAGTCTGGTAAATGTAGGGAATGCTGGATGACTAGAGAAATTGAGGCTCTGGTTGAGGAAAAAGAGGAGGCGTATATCAGGTATAGACAGCTGGGATTGAGTGAATCCCTAAAAGAGTATACTTAAGAGAGAAATCAGGAGGGCAAAAAGGGGACATGAGATAGTTTTGGCAAATAGAGTTAAGAAGAAACCACAGAGATTCTATAAATTCATTACGGGCAAAGAGAAACTAAAGAGACAATAGGGCCCCAAGACCAACGTGGCTGTTTATGTGCAGAACCACAGGAGATAGGTGAGATACTTAATGAATATTTTGCATCAGTATTTACTGTGGAAGGAGGATATGGAAGCTAAGGAATTTGGGGAAATAAATATTGATGTCTTGAAAAGAATTCATATTACAGAAGAGGAGATGCTGGAGGTCTTAAAATGCTTAAAGGACTTGATCAGGTGATTCCTAGAACTTTGGGGGAAGTTAGGGAAGAGATTGCTGGGCCCCTTGCTGAAATATTTGTAACATCGATAACGACGGGTGAGGTGCTTGAGGTCTGGAGGTTGGCTAATATGCCATCATTTAAGAAAGGCTGTAAGGAAATGCCGGGGAACAGTAGACCAGTGAGCCTTAAGTTAGTGGTGGGTAAGTTGTTGGAGGGGATTCTGAGGGATAGTATTTATATGCATTTGGAAAGGAAAGAACTGATTAGGGATCGTCACCATGGCTTTGTGGGTGGAAATGATGTCTCAGTAACTTGATTTGAGTTTTTTGAAGAGGTGACCAAGAAGATTGATGAAGACAGAGTGGTAGGCATAGTCTATATGGACTTCAGTAAAGCGTTCGACAAGGTTCCACCTGGTGGACCGATTTAGTAAGGTTAGATCAAACGAGATCCAGGGAGAGCTAGCCAATTGGATACAAAATTAGCTTGAAGATAGAAGACAGAGGGTGGTGGTGGAGGTTTGTTTTTCAGTCTGGAGGCCAGTGACCAGTGGTGTGCCACAAGGTCCACTGCTTGTTGTAATTTATACAAATGATTTGGATGTGAATGTAGGAGGTATAGTTAGTAAGTTTGCAGATGACACCAAATAGTTGGTGTAGAGGACAGTAAAGTGGGTTATCATAGAATCCCCACGGTGTGGAAGTAGGCCATTTGGCCACTAAGTCTTCCCTGACCCCCTGAAGATGGCCCCACCCTTACTCTCTCCCTATAACCCGGCATTCCCTGTGGCTAACCCACCTGGTCTACACATCCCTGGACACTATGGACATTTTAGCATGGCCAATCTGCCTAACTTGCACATCTTTGGACTGTGGGAGGAAACCCATGCAGACACGGGGAGAACATGCAAACTCAACTCCGACAGTTGCCCAAGGGTCAAATTGAGCTCGGGTCCCTGGCACCGTGAAGCAGCATGCCCAACCACTGAGCCACCATACCACCCCCAAGAGTACAATGGGACCATGATCAGATGGGCCAATGGGCTGAGGAGTAGCAGATGGGAGTTTAATTTAGATAAAGGAGAGGTGTTGCATTTTTGTAACGCAAACCAGAGCAGCAGTTATACAGCTAATGTAGGGCTCAGAAGCGTATTGCCAGACAGAGAGATCTAGGGGTGCAGGTACATAGTTCCTTAAAGTGGAGTTGCAGATAGATAGCGTGGTGAAGAAGGCATTTGGCATGCTTGTCTTCATTGGTCATTGCACTGAGTGTAGGAATTGAGGTGTCATGTTGCAGCTGTACAGGACATTGGTGAGGCCACTTTTGGAATACTGCTTACAATTTTGGTTGCCGTTCTATAGGAAGGATGCTGTTAAACTTGAGAGGGTGCAGAAAACATTTACAAGGAAGTTGCTGGGATTGGAAGGTTTGAACTATAGGGAGAGGCTGAATAGGCTGGGGCTTTCTTCCCCTGGAGCGTTGCATACCGAGGGTGACCTTATAGACGCTTACAAAATCATGACAGGCATGGATAGGGTAAATAGCCAAGGTCTTTTTCCCAGGGTATGGGAGTCCAAAACTAGATGGCATAGGTTTAAGGTGAGAGGGGAAAGATTCTTAAAAAAAAAAGGACCTGAGGGGTAACTTTTTCACACAAGTGGTGGAGGCTGGTACAATTACAATTATTTAAAAGGAATCTGGGTGGGTATATCAGTAGGAAGGGTTCATAGGGATATGGGCCAAATGCTGGAAAATGGGACTAGGTCAGATTAAGATGTCTGGGCAGCACAGATGAGTTTGGACCAAAGAGTTTGTTTCCATGCTATATGAGACTCTGGTTCTATACTGAGCCAACGATTGCTCTGCTCCTCGTCTCCCACGCCGGGTGGGTCTTTGACTCCGTTCTTCATTCCCTCCAGGTAAGGTACTTTGAGAATTTAAAAGTAGAGGGAAGAAAATCTACAGCAAGAGGGGGAAAAGAGAGGAAAAGGAGCTGGAGAGCAGAGAAGCTCTGGTTGGAGCGTCTTACTCTGCCCCGCCATCTTAACCGGAAGCATATAGTGACTTCAGACATTAATCGTTTTCAAGAAAGACAGACTTACCTTTAGATCACTTTTCAATACCACAGAACTCCCAAAGCACGTAAAGGCAATGTCAGGAGCTCATTTCCACACTGCAGGCTCCTGTGAATAGCAATGCAATAGTGATCAAATGTTAATTGAGGCACACGTATGCCAGGACATCAGAAATAACTCCACTGGTCCTGTCCAAAAAAGTGCCATGGAACCTTTCAAATCTACCTTAGGAAGCAGACATGGGTTCAATTTAAGGTATTCACTGAAAAGCAACTCTATGTTGCGTTGTGTGTGATACAAAAGTATGTGCATCCTACCACAAAACTGTTTACAGAAATTGGGCAAACTTACCATACTTTGCCTTAGTAGAATTTTATATGAATCATTATGAAATAGAAATATCATAACTTAAGGCAGAATGGAGCCAATGTTTACCAGAAAACTCTTATTAGCTATGGGTATCTGGTGATTTGTGGGAAAAAACCAAAGTGTTGGAGAAACTTAGCAGATCATGCAGTATCATTAGAGAGAGAAACAAGGTTAACATTGAATCCAGTATGACACCTCATGAGAACTCTTTTTTTTCTCCCATACTAAGGTGTTGGAATAGAGTGAGAGAATCGGAGAAGGTGAAGGGTGGAAGACTGGTATCAGTACCTGAATTTTTAGAGCTTGCATCCTTTGACACCTGAAAGGAAGAGAAAAAGTTTCTAGTCGCTGTCGAATGAGGCAAAAAGTGAAATGGAAATGAGTACAGGGACAGCTTTGAGATAGCGTAAGGCAGCATTAATGCAGAGAGGTCAGGAGTGTGCATGTGGTGACACATATTGCAATATAGACCTCAGGATGCAACAGGAGCAGCTGTCTGTGGAGCACGATGTCTTGTAGATACAGTTAATTTTGTGTGGATTCAAAACAAAGACGGAACTTTTTTTCTCCAGGGCATTGACTATGAGGAAAGGTTAAAAAGACTAGGATTGTTTTCACTGGAAAGACGGCAGCTGAGAGGAGACCTGATAGACGTCTACAAAATTATGAAAGGCATAGATAGGGTGGATAGTCAGAGGCTTTTACCCAGGGTTGAAGTTTCAATTACAAGGGGGCACAGGTTCAAGGTCAGAGGGGGAAAGTTTAATGGGGGTGTGTGAGGGAAGTTTTTCACGCAGAAAGTGGTAGCAGCCTGGAATGCATTACCAGAAGAGGTGGTGGAAGCAGACACATTGAAGACATTTAAGAGGCACCCAGATGGGTACATGAATAGGGCGGGAATAGAGGGATATGGATTGAAAAATGGCAGGTTTGTTTATCAATTAATGAGGGCATGATGGTCGGCACAGGCTTGGAGGGCCAAAGGGCCTGTTCCTGTGTTGTACTTTTTCATTTGGTCAAAATATTGCAGATGCTGGAAATTGGAAATAAAACATAGTGCTAGAGAAATTTGGCAGGTCTGTGAACATCCGTAGACCAAGAAAGTCATTTTTCAAATCCAGTATGACTCTTCTTAGGAGCACAACACATTTATGGGCTCTGATTTTGCTCTGCAACTAGCATTTCTTATAAATCTATGCAGAAGTGTTAAATCAGTAATTAACTTTACATGACTTTGTGCCCCAGATACACTGCAGATGTTAGTAGTGATTTTTACTTTTACTTTTACATTTTTACTTTTGAACCAAGAATAATTTTGTTAATGAAAATTGGCTGGCTCTATGTAAGTTTTAGGGCTCTGTTTATGTATTTATTTAAAATTTTAGGATATAGAATATTTTAAAAAGTTGTTTAGCTCTTGAGCTATATTTAACACTAATTAATTACAAATTATGGTGTAGAAGGGGGTTGTTCAGCCCCTTATATCTACACTGGCTGTCTGAATGAACAATATCACAATGCTTTTTTTCTTACCTTTTCCCCATAACCCTGAATATTCTTTCTGTTTAAATAATTATCTGATGCTGCGTTGAATACATCAATTGAACCTGTCAGCAGCGCACTACATTCTATGTGAAAAAAGTGTTTTTCTCATCACATTTGCTTCTTTTCCAGTTATGAATTCTTTGAGAGGATACAGCTTATTTTTATCTACTCTGTCTAGCCTGATCATGATCTGAAAACTTACATCAAAATCTCCCTTCAGCCTTCCCTCTAAGGAGAACTGTCCCAACTTCTCCAATCTCATCCTCATAACTATTTCATTCCTGCAACCATTCACGTAAACCTCTTCTGCACTCTATCCAATGCATTCGCATCCTTTCTGAAGTATGACAGCTAGAACTGGACATTGCATTCCAGCTGAGGTCTAATTTGTGTCTTGTGCAAGTTCAGCACAACCACCTTGCTCCTGTATTCTATGCTGCTATTAATTAGGCCTGGAATGCTGTAATCTTTATAGCTGCTCATTCTATACTTGTGTCTGTGCTTCTGTACAATCTATTTTCTATTGTATCTCCATGTTCTTCCCACTAGAATGCATCACTTCTCCACACTGAATGTCATCTGCCTGCTCCATCAACTTGTTAATATCCTTTGTAGTTTTACACTGCCCCTCCCCCCCACAATTTACATCTACAAACTTGGAAACTGTTCCCTGCACGCCAAGGTCTAAATCAATAAAATACATCAGGAAAAGAAAAATCCTAAAAGTCATTCCTGGGGAACCCTTCCACAAACCATCTGCCAGCCCAAAAAATGGCCCATTACTTTGTTTCCTATCACTCAACTAATCTTGTATCCATGTTGCTACTGTGCCGTTTATTCAATGAGCTATAACCTTTCTCAAGTCAGTTGTCTGGCACAGTAACAAATGCCTTTTGGAAGTCCAGGTACACCACATCAACAGCAAAACCCTCATGAACCCTTTCTGTTACCTCTTCAAAAAATTCCATCAAGTTCACGAAACACCATTTTCCCTGAAGAAATCCTTGCTGACTCTTCGTGAAATTGCAACATTTTTCTGTATGACTTCAATTCTATACCAAATAATTATTTCAAAAACAACTGCTTGTGCACACAAATATCTAAGTTGATATTGTAGGTAAGATCTAATCAACTTTCCTGTTTCTTTTTTGTCACAGTACGATACAGACTTCTATATCCTTGACAAATATCCGCTTGCTGTGAGACCTTTCTATACAATGCCAGATCCACATGATCCTGTGAGTAAAACTTGTAGTTTGAAATTAAGTAATTAAACATAATTCAAACAAATACAATTATTTTAATATTGTACTGACATGTTTTAAAACAATACAGAAATATTCCAACTCATATGACATGTTTATGAGAGGAGAGGAGATTTTGTCTGGTGCCCAGAGAATTCACGATCCTCAACTTTTAACTGATCGAGCACTCCAACTCGGGATAGGTAATGTATACATCTTATTTTAGATTTAAACATCTTCAAAATTTCAGATTTTGGTATTATCTGGATCAAAAATGTAAACAGATGCAATGACTTCGAAATTGGATTGTGTTGATGAGATCACTACTAATTCCTTCAATCCAGCCTATTTATTTTAGAATAGTGGCTAACTGTATGCATCAGTTGTGGCCAGATACAGCTGCCCAGACATGTAAGTTGCGAGGGAAACAAAATCCGCTATCTTAGGCTGCAACTGATGTTCCCAAGAACTGAAAATAAAGGAATCTAGTTGGCCCAAGATATGGGTATTGCTTTCATTCCTGTACAGATTTGACCATAGAATTCCTACAGTATGGAAACAGGCCCTTCGGCCCAAGTCCACAATGACCTTCAGAGCATCCATCCCCCTATAACCCACCTAATCTATGCATCCCTGAATACTGTGGGCAATTTAGCACGGTGAATCCACCTAGCCTGCACATCTTTGGACTGTGGGAGGAAACCAGAGCACCCGGGGAAACCCGTGCAGACACGGGGAGAATGTGCAAACTCCACACAGGCAGTTGCCCGAGGGTGGAATCGAACCCAGGACCCTGCTGCTGTGAGGCAGCAGTGCTAACCACTGAGCCACTAAGCTGCCTCATCTTTAAAACATTTAAGTAAAATGACAACAGTAATCTCTTCTGTTATGTATTTGAGAAATAACTCTGATTCATACAGTCAAACTTTTTTCTATATATTTATACAGATGTGGAAAAGATAAAATCGTATATTGACTCCTTCCGCTTTGGTGCTCCTCCACATGCAGGTGGTGGCATAGGTAATGTTTTGTTTCTGCTCCTGGCAAGTAATACAAGTTGCAAGTAGATTTAAATATGTAATTGTGTTCATCCTTTTCTCATTCTCTCAACATTTAGGTTTGGAACGGGTCACCATGCTGTACCTGGGTTTGCACAACATACGTCAAACATCGATGTTCCCTCGTGACCCCAAGCGGCTAACTCCTTGAATGTGTCCAAAGTCTAGAAAAATTTGATCTATCATTACAATCTGGTGTATGTTTTTGCAAAAAAATGATCAGTAATAAATATGACAGTGCCAAAACTACAGCTCTTCCACTGCACTGATTGCTAAATTCACATTTGATAAGATTTTTAAAAATTTCAAACTGCTTAAATTAGACTTTTGAGCATTGAAAATATGTAAAAATAATAGCATCATGACCATTTCTAATGTAACAATTTGCAACATTTTTCAAGAACATAGGGAATTTACTGCAGTGCATAGAGAACTGTGTACTTGGATGCTTGTGGGAACTGTAAGATGGTTCGCATTAATATCCTTAACTTAAAGTGGTAGATCAATGAAAGAAAATTACAACGTACAAGCGGTGAAGTGATAACTTAGTGGTAGCAATTTTCAATTTTAAATTAATTCTAGACTCACCAAATTCTAATAAATGGATTAATTACTTAAAAATGAGTGATTTTCTTTTAGTCTTGTGTATTATTTTACTAATTAGCATTGATACATTTCCAGCATTAATGAACAAATGTCAATGATTGTAGCCCCACCCCCTACTAATCTTGCTATAGATTCTGTTATAGAACAGTTTACCTACTGCAGCTGAATATTTACTTGGATAGGGGTGGGTTCAACCTTTTAGCCTGCTGTTTTACTTGTCCTACTGAATTATCCTGACAGAAATTTTGGATCTGCACTTGATATTCTCTTGAGTTCAACATCACTG